CATAAAACTTGCTGAGGGAAAAAGGTGAGACAAAGTTATAACATTCCTCTATCTTAAGGTGAAAATTATTGATAAAATATTTTCATAATTCCACTTAAAAAATTCACTTTAAAACATGAAAATTTTGTTGAAATAATATAAATAAATAAATTATTATTTATTGTTATTATTTTATATAGAGAAGTCAGATTTCTTACCTAAATAGTTGGACATTAAAAGCATAGGCAAACACAAGCACACATACACTAATGGATGAACGTGCACGGAACAAATGTGCATGTCAATACTCGAATATTTAACGTACATCATTTTGCCATCTTATACTAATAGTATTAGATAGCGTTTATTTTAATTGACAGCTGACGCTGAGGCACAGGATGGGGTGTGAAAATGTTTCAATTATGTGAAGCAATTGACAGTTGTCTAAACTAGAACTAACCGACACACTTATTTGCGAATAGCTGTATTTATGCATGTATGTTTGTGAATAGAAATAAATGGACCGGGAAATTTTCAGATTGAAGATTTGTCTTGAAAACATTCTACTCAGTTGACCATGTATCGTAAACACTTTTCACAGTATGAGGGAGTTCTTACACTGGATGAGTCGTGATGTCAAGTACACAACGAGTTCTTTGGCGGTAAAAAGTGAACATGAAATCTCTACTACTAACATCTGTATCCATCCATGAAGCGATGGGTATAAGGCCACTATGAGGTAAATTTAGTATGTTGGTAATAGTTCATGCAGGTAGCACTGTCGGAAGAAAATAACTGAAACACCCATACTTATAAGGATGTTTAAGCAAATGATTGACATCATTAAAGAATAAGCTGTATTTCCCCTAGTGAATTCTCACTCGATTTTTCTCCCAAATCTGTTATACAACTCTTAGACAACCAAGTAACCAGGGTATGCAAAAAGGGACTTCGGGGCATAGCAATGATAAATAGTGTCTAGCATTGGAATCCAGGACGCACATTTCGTCCTATTTAAGACTCGTCAGCTGGATGTACCTACGCTCCAGTGAGTGATGTAGTTCCCACTGAGACCCGAACCCACTACTCAGTGCTTCAAACACCAAAGCGTCATTCACTAGGAAACTGGGGCACGGTAGCCACTTCTTGTGCAACGGGTATCAGTTGTTGTTTTGACACTTCCAACTCCCCCACTGCATCTTTCCAAAAGATAGTGGCTGGCATACCTACACCCCTGTGAGTAGTAGTGTTCGGACTTTGCACATATCGCTTCAGACAGCAAATACTTATTCAGTAAGTCGCTGAAGCACGACAGCTTCTTGTGCAACGGGTATCAATTACTATTTATCGTTACTTCCAATCTACCGAAACATCCACATAGGAGACCAAATGCCCCCAGAGTTCAATCAATTCGATCCTGTATAACAAGAGGAAATTTCAAGTACCATTATTTAATAACTGATACCTGTTGCACAACGGAAGGCTGTTGTGTATCAGTAACCCAATGGGTAAGACTTTGGTGCCTGAATCGATGGATGCAGGGTTCGGGCTTCAGTAGGAACATCATTACCCCCCGTATGCAGGTACATCCAGCTGACGAGCCCCAAACAGGATTAAACGTGCGTCCAAGATTTTACTGGCAGCCACCACTAAGTAAATACAGCACAATGAATAATCAGGAAATATTAAGGTATCGTCATAGGAGCCCATACACCAGCGTAGGTTTGTCAGTTCAATCCAATATAACAACATGAAATTATAAGCAACAATAAATAAGATAAACACAGTTTATCATCGTGATTACTCTTAAAAGATGTCTACCTACTTACTTAACTGTCGTTGTTTTACAGAGAAACAAAGATTCAAGCTTCGATTGGATAAAAGATGCACACAATAGACTGTGCTTGTTAGAAATGTGTTTTGAATGAACTTAGCTTATAGTTAGTAATTTCATATCCAAAGTTTAATATAAGTATTTCATGGTGTGAATCAATACACAAACAGTAACGCAGCTTTTTTGCTCACAATTTTCTTTTGCTCTGTCAACAAGAACTGTTCACCACTTTGGTGTATAGTTGAAAGAATGACCATTGGTATCACGAAATTGAAATTTTAGGGAATATCGCTGTCTTAAGTTAGTCCCTTTTCAAGGTTGTGCTCACCCTGCTTAATGTACAATGGTGATGCTTTTTTAAATGTCACAAACAAAAGAAACTCTTTTATACATGTGATAAAAATTACTCATGAGTTACAGAGTGAGAAAATAGAGTCACCTACATTGGATCGCGCAATAAAAATGAAACTAAATGGAGGCCTAGACACTAGTGTTTACAGAAAAAACCAACACATTTGTTTCAGTACGTAGACTTAAAGTGATCCCATCCTATATGTTTCAGCAACTGGGTGAAATATTCAGTCAGTAAAACAAAATCTACGACAGGTAGTAAATATATAAGTAAATACAGAAGCCTTATAACCGAATAGTTATTTTCATAAACTAACCCTTTTTAAATGGCTTGTAGAATTATACACTAACTATAATTAAGAACGTTTCATGGAGATGGAAGCTACACTAATCGAATGCTTAACAAAATCTGCAGATTGTCTGTCTGTAGGAAGGGAAAATAGAATTCACTAGAAGAGTTAAAAATCTTTGAGATAGCATCAGAGTGACCAGTTTATTCCAAGAACTGTAGTGTTAAGAAGTAAAATTATGAGAGAATAAGTTATTTGTGTGTACACAAGTCTAACCTATATTTCTACATTACTAAAGCTATTGCAATGAGAAGTAAACTTTTGCTCACGTGTGAAAACTTTTGGTATATCATGTCAACAGATTTCTTAGAATTGTTCGTCAACTGTCAACAAAATTTGTTGAGGAAATCTCGTGAATGAAGTGAGTTCCCCCTTGTCGAGGTATGTTGGGAGCTGCCGATATCTATGCTAGACAATCTTTCTCTGGATGTAACCTACGTACTTAACTCCACAGCGGAAAGTAGATCGAAATATTTTTGTGGAAAGAGTAGAAGCAGCTGTCTACCCACCCTTCAATGAATGACAGTTTTAGGTAATTACAGAATGTTTGTTTCACAGCTGTCATCAATCATCTCGTTAACACTTCATTTATAATGTTCTTACCGAATTCCGAATAGAAAAGTAGATTACTTTTCGTTGAGAAGTCAAAATTACGTCAAAAATCTGACCCTAGAACTTCTACAACCAATTTGACTTACTGTTTCTGAACTTAGTGTCTTGGATTGTAATGTTGGAATGATTTACATTCCTGTATCATTTTTCTTCATAAGTTACACATACTTGAGTCAATGGTGGGCAGACTGGTGAACAACTATCTAAAATGCTAATTGACTGCAGAAGTTCCTGAGACCAGTTAAGCATTCCTCGCCGTTATTATTATACAATATGTTTCACACATTTTCGTAATGATAACCAGTTGTCGTTACAGTCCCTGCTTATTAAAATCAATCTTATTAGTTCTAAAATAGGTATACTGATCGGTCCTGATCTAGGAATAAAGGAATCTGTTACAGAAGTTACTTTAAACTGTCTGGTTTTCAGAGTTTTTTCAAATATCTTTTTGTGATGGGACGCAAGTTAAAATTTGTCCAAAGTCCTCGTTCCTTCACGCTGAACTGTACATGGAGGCTGTGTAGTTGCATAAGATAGTACTACTGAACAACTTCAGTAGTTAGAACCACTCAGGGTGATCTGTAGCATTTCTACAGCCAGGTCAGAGTGATCTAAACACCGGACGGCTGTTTCGCTCGGTTAATGCTGAGCTCATAAGTGTGGTAACCGGATAAATTCACCTCATAGAGCTGAATTAGTTCAGATCGCCTGAATCCGGCTAGCTGACTTATGTGGACCGGTACTCCTAAAATAGGATGAACGATTTTCAAGTAGTTTACAATTGTACGGTCGACATCGACATTTCTCGCAGCTGAATTGTTTTTCAACTGTCTAACAGTGGTGTCAACAGGGTTTTCCTTAGGAAACCACCAAGCCAGGATCACAAGGTGTTATCTCTGACACAAAAGTGTTACGTCAACGTGGACAATACAATTTTTAAATCACTTGTAAATTGTTTATTCTATTTTGTGTAATTGGCATGTTTAACTTCTAAGAATATGTGTTATTTTAAAATGAGAATTTCTTCCCAAGCTAGTTTTTCAGTATTCAATACTTTGGTTCAGCCAATTACGAAATTCGGGAATTAACTCTAAATTTGGACAGCCAATCGGTGAATCGTATTATCTGCTTTATTCGTATTCTGATTGGCTTTGGTTACTTTATCATCAGATTAGAAAGAAATTAGGTTTGTTTTGCAAAATTTTAAGGTAATCATCTTTTTCTTCAAGTATCTTACTTTCTTCTCTACAGGAAATAAAATAGTTAGGTTAGAGGGAGAACAATGAAGTGTATAAGAACACGAATAAAAAAATTAGGCGCGAAATGTCAGCCAATCCACATGCGATTAGCTTATTTTATATGTAATAATATCTGTAATATGACCTAGATTATGCGAGAGTCAAGCTGTATTCTATCCTAGTTTATAGAAAATAGAAATCTTTATTGTTTCAGGGAAGATCACCTTTCTACAATACTAGAGGTAACAAAATAATAACTGAAGTCATTATGACCTACCAGAATAATTCGAATAAAAAATCTTCGAAACTGGACACCAAGCATTTGCCTTTCACAATTCAGACGCTTTTAGACCTTAATAACACCAACGACAAGTTGACTGATAAGCAGGATATATTATCGTCAGAAAATCATGAAAAACTATCCAAAAGCATGCATGTGTTAATGATTCATTGAAACACTCAACTCCAGTGGTTCCTAATACACCTAATTCAGACGTAAGACAGTGTCACGATATAGCAGATCATTTAAATTATTGGCCATCAACTAGATTAAACAATAAACTATTTTTGCAATTATTTAAAAACGTATACTTGTCACAAATTCAAAACAATAATTTTCAGACACAACCTACTGATATGCATCAGTCAAACTTTCTACAGAAATGCTTTATTCAATCTCAAGATATTCATGATTTATCAAAAGTTATCGCATCCAGCTCGTATATGAAACAACCAAGTATTAATTGTCATACGGTTAACAGCATTCCTAGTGTGCAGGATATTGCAAATCACTTACACAGGAGTCAGTTCACAAATCTTCTAGATTTCACTTCTTCTTCTTCTTCTTATCCCGCAGGCTATTCTTCAAAACTGCCTTTGTTTACAAGTAAATCACAGAAACCATATTCTTTCCTGAAAAGCTTCAATCCAAATATTTTTCGAAATGAATTCACTTCAAATCAGATAAATCGACTTATACAAGAGTTTCCACAAAAAGATGGACAAAACAGTTTTCTGGGGAGTGGTGAAGCCGGTGAGTTTGGCGTACTTGCAGTAATTTGGACATATTTGTTTGCTTGTTATATTATTCGTTTAATGAAAATTTCCTGAGTCTATATGATTAAAGCTCTGTAAAGCTTTCAGCCTGAAGTCAATTCATATTAGATTTTACTAAAGTATTATAGTTTCATATATGAATTTACTGAATATGTAAGATGCCGAAGCGTTAGCCTTCAGTTGGTTAGTTCTGACTATCGTAAATCGAACAACATCCTGAAAATAACTCGAAATTGACTTCATCAAAAGTTTTTTAATAATAAATCACAAAATAGTTCATTTTGACTAGTCAAACATTTTAGTTGATAAGATGCATTCAACTTTGATCTTCGGTTTGTCGTTATGCTTGAAAATAAGATTACTAAATCACTTATTTAATCTGCCTTCCAATCCCCTCTGTTTAATTGATTCCTCAGTCCTCAGCCTCAAGATTGCTAGCCTCATACTTTAATTACGACACAAGTCTATGACTTCAAATACGTTATTTCTTTCATCTTGCTGAACAAACATAGCACAGTGCATTGTTTTCAAGGTACCTGTGATCACAAATCAACACTAGCTTAAATACCTATGGAAAGCTAGGGAGTAGTGGATACCTATTTCATCCTAATTTGAGACTCTTAAACAGTGTCCACCCATAAATCATGAGGAATGGAACCCACTACTTTTAGTTCATCCAATGAGTACACTGTGTTTCATGTTATTAAATCTCGTTTTCTAACTTCTATTGATCAGCTATATAGTGTGATAGTTATTTAAGAAATTGTATGAGAGAAACCTGCTGATAGGTGATTTTCTGAGACATAATTTATTTACTGATTAGTGGGGAGGAATCATTTAGTAACAACCAAATTTGTTTCTCGTCACCCACTTTCAAAATGGAGTTTTTAAAAGCGAAATTCCTTGTTTGTTTATTTCTAAATTTAACCAGCTCAATCCTTTGATCACTTTTACTAACTTTATCTGTATGCACAAAGTTAGCTGACCGGTAGTCATGAATTCTTCAAACAGCAATATTTTCTATTATACTATTACCATTATATTGAATCCGTTGACTATTACTTTCCTCAAGTCTATGCATACTAAGTTGAATGCCCGATTGATATGAAGAAATGGTGCATTCACCTCTAATTCAATTAATTTTAAAGTTTTTTTCAGATATATTTGGTTGAGTAGTATTGTTACCTGGGTATGTCATGATTCCTCTATTCCCTGAAAGTAGGTATTTAATGTACTTCAGTTTTTGCGTATAACGTCTAGTGTAAGACAAACAGCAATTTCATAAGAGCTGTTACTATTGCGCATTTACACCAGTTTTCATACAACAAGGAAAGACTATTCTGAAGAAAAACAGCGGAGTCAAAAAGTTAAACTGATAACAATAAGACGAAGAAAATGAAGAAAGGAAACGGGTCAATGTAGACGGTAGGATGCAATAGCGTACTAAGCCATTCAGGCGTCAGAGGAAAATACGGCACTAGGGTATCTGTACCTGTGCAAGTCAATTGGAATTATATCAGTTAAAGCCTTCAAATACTGGTGATCTCACTTGCATCATGAAGTGAAACCAGGAAGCCTGCATGCATTACATACGCCTTATGAATGTCACATATTTGCACCGCATATTTGCACAACCATTCTGAGGTTTTTTCATCCTTCCTCTTCCCATTTTCTATTGCATGTTAAAACAGATAACGACCGAGCGCAAGTAACATATTCAATAAATGTGTAAAACCTCAAATAGTGATGTGCATGCTTAACTTGCTTCTGCGCACACAACTGACGTAAAATCAGAGATTACTCCAATGACTTTAAATACATGAGTAGTTGTGTAGCAACCTACTTGACAGCTGACAGTGCGATCCAGGATGTGTGTTTCATCTTGTTTATGACTTGTCATTTGAATGTAATTGCACCCAGTGAATGACTTTGTTTCCACTTATACTCGAACCCAATTCACACTGCTTCGTTACATCAGTGCTATCCACTAAGCCAAAGGGGCATGTCAGTCAAAGAGGTAGAATATTCCGACACAGTATAGCCACAGGAAATTTCACGTATCAGTAAACAAAATCAGCATATACCCTGAAAGATCAATCTGGAATGTAAGCGAGCAGTGGGAAATTTTTTTGAGAGGAATGACTGAATTCCCTCACATGAGCTATGTTTCCGCATTTTAATTCTGCTTTATTTTCTCCAGACTGAAATGATACTTTCTTTAACGTCAGTGGCTTAATTACGATAATTCCAGAACACTACATGATTTCGGGCATCCCACAGGAATACCGTAATTTCGAGGTCTCCACCTTTATGTTATTTCTTCTTAGGAGTTACCTTCTGTTATGACAATCACATTTAAAAATTATTTAATGGAAAAACTCTCAGAGTTTAGTCGATAAATATTCATGATAAGACCAAAGATGCACATGCTTTTTATTGAGAGATGATGAGATGATCCAGTAGATTACAGATGGTAAATCCAACTCCAACTGCCTCGATATGGTAGCCCTACAGAAATAGCGAGATAAGAAAATCAGCCGTATGTTTTAACTTGTAATTACTCTGTTTATTCAAGAGGCTTTATGATAACCATCACAGTAGTATTTAAAAGTGAAACTTGTGTAACTCGCTTGATGTAATCTTTCCCACCTACCACATCAAACATTATCTGGATACTATCTTAAAATGAGCACTCACAACGATCTAGAAAGTTTGGGTAGGAAAACATTTGAAAATCATTACAAAAACGACTGACTGCATAAGCCATGTTCATCGCTTTAGGGAGTAAAGCATTGTGAGTACATTTTCACTGCTATTGATTAGAAGTTTATGAGTCTTGTACCTCAAAATAATTGAGCGAAACCTAAATTAAATTCTTTAAGGCTTTATGAGAGCAAATAGCGGGTCCACCTGATTTTTCAAGAGTCTGACTAGTAGTGTATGTACAAAAAGCCAATACTTACTCAAAATACTACTGAAGAACGATATGATATGGTCAAGTTGTGAATGGAAGATTAAAAGAGAAGATAATCCAACAGTACCAAAATCATTTTTCATAGCTCTGAACTTTCCTAACTGTCTGCAGCATATTAACTACATTATTTGATGAACTGGAGGAGACTCATCCAGGTTAACCTACAAAATGTTTGGCCTACATTCTTAATGCTATCAAAACTTACCTAGATTTTGCTGTTTCGGGAAGAACTCCGATTTCGGGGTTACCAACTACCTTATTCCGAATACATGGTTGCCACTAAAATGAACTCTTAATGCTGCTTCTTCTTGCTGCATTTAATAAATTATCAGTCTTTGATAATTAGTGTAAGTTGCTATCTTTGTTTTGGTTGCCATAGCTTGATGTGATATCTGATTGTTTTACTCTGAGGAATCCAGTTGTTTAATGGTTAAAGATATTCCATAGGAAAAAGTGTTTAATCAATGTTTGTTATCGGTAAGCAACCAACAATAATCAAAATCAGCGTGGTCAGAAAACTTAGTCTCCTTGAAAGTACTAGCGTACGTAGAACCTGTCCTCAGTCATAGATGCTACTATTGGTCCGTTACGCCTGGAGAAGAACCACCTTAGGCACTGATCTACGCAGATTGATTAACAGTTAAGAAGTGGCTAATCTCTTACTGTCCACTATTTTACTCTGACGTTCTCTCTTATGCCTCAATATTCTATTAAATAACGCTTTGGCGTTTGAAGTGATGAATACTAGGTTCGTGTCTCACTGGGATGTAGAGGCATGCTTCTGATAAGTCTCAAGTGGGACGTCCTGGATCCTACTATTAACTGCCAGGTAGACTACAATGTCATAAATATCCCGGCAGTACCATGGTATCCGCATAGGAGCCCATCTGTTGACAGAGGTTTGTTAATTCTGCCCAGCATTATTTATTTTACTATTATTTGTCCGTTGGGTTCCTAGTGGAACGTAGGGCTTCAGTAGCACGCCTCCAGTGCACTCTCTTCTCTACAATCTTTTGAACCTGGCTCCACGACTGCCCAGAATCTCTCATTTCTTCCTCACACCATCTCCTCCATATCACCCTCAGCTGGGACGCCCAACTCGTCGCTTCCCATCTAGCTTCCACTCGAGGGCCACTGCCCGGCCACCTGGTCTCCAGTAAAGAGCCAGAGTAGACAGTTGTTGATGAATGTCTGTAGTTTATTGGAAATGCCTTCCGCAACGCGCCAAGTCTCTCAACCATAAAGAAGCACTGACTTGACTGACACTGGTGTTGAAAATCCGGATCTTGATCACGCTTCATGCTGAGTGCAGAAGACCTCAACGCTGGTTTCAGGCTAATGAATGACTGTCTTGCATTTCCGATCCTGGCTGGCTTTGACATTCTCGTCTGTGCTGCCTAGGTAGGTGAAAGAGGCTTCTTCTTCCTTTAAGTTTCTCCCATCGATGGTGATTGGAGCTTGTTGTTGGTGGTGGTGTTGGTTGGATATCTTCATCATTTCTGTCTTCTCTATATTTGCCTGAAGTCCCGTCTTCGCTGCCTCTTCTATCAACTTGTTAGTTTTCACCTGTAGGTCTTCAAGTTTGTGTGACATTAGACACAAGTCATCGTTGGCGAAATCCAGATCTTCTAGGTTCTTTTCCGCCCTCCAGCCAGCGTATCCCCCTCTTCTCACTCTTCACGGTTTTCTGCTGCATGATCCAGTCCAGTCGACCACAATCAGGAATATCATGGGTGATAGTAGACAGCCTGGTTTCACTCCTGTCTTCACTTCACTTCAAAAGCATCACTGAGCTTCTCATTGTCAATTACTTGGCATGTGGCGTCCTCATATAGCTGCTGTTGAATGAGGTTGATAAAGGTTTGTGGTATTCCGTAGTGTTGGAGCAGTTGCCAAATTACTTCTCGGTCGACACTGTCGAAGGCCTTTTCAAAGTGGATGAAGTTGAGGTAGAGAATTGACTGCCATTCTATACTCTGTTCTATGATGATGCAAAGTGTAGCGTTGCAATTTGATCCACACATGATTTGTACTTCCTGAATCTAGCCAGCCAGCCAACCTGTTCCAGTGGTAGTTTTGA